ATCCCCATTCTGCCCTGCCCCAGTGTCCCAACACTAACACAAAGACCAAGTCCAACCCTTTCTTGTCCCTGGGAGGAAGCTGGCTGGAGGGAACCAGAGCAGGCTGCAACCAGGAGCCACTGAGCAGGTGGGATTAGAGCTGGGTTCTGACTGGCTGTGGTTGTCCGTGAGGTGAGGCATCTCCCAGTCTCTCATCGACCACCTGGAGAAGTTGTATCTTTCTGCCCAAAGTTCTTAACTTGAGTGGGACGTGAGAAAGGGCTGCCAGCACAGGAGGTGAACTTGGATTTCGGAGTTGGCCTTGGTTTCAGACTGCCCTCAGCCTGACTAGTAGCTCACTGAGTTGTGGACAATAACCCCGCCTCTCTGAGCTTTGGTTTTGTTCTTAGGACTGAAGATTTTCATAAGATGGTTCTGAGAAATTCGTGTGTGTGAAAAAGCCCTGGTCAGTGTTTAATAAGAAATGGGAATTTCCTTTGCTGCCCTTTTCTATGCCATTTGTCCAGGTAACTATGGAACCTGGGGCGAGAATTTGTGGAAAGCTCTTCTTGGATACAGATATCGGGGTGTCTTTCTTCCCCGGGGGTGGAAGATACACAGTGACTCCAGAAAAGCCCTTGCCGGAACTTAGCCTCTCCTCTTTAGGTCAGCTGTGTGCTTAGGGAGACCCAGGCACTGCTTGCAGGCTGAACGCGGCCTGCAGCGCCCCCGCGTGCTGGGAGAGTGAATGCAGGCGACCTCCGCTCACTGCAGAAAGAAACCTAGGGAGGTCTTCAGCCAGGGAAGGGAACAGCAGGCTCCAGGCAACATTTGAGGAAGCCATAGGCTGTAGTCAGGTTGGGGACTCAGCCAAGGAGGGGGAAAGATAGTAGAAATAAGGTACTGATTAAATTAGGCGAGATACCCTTGGGGTAGACGCTAAGCTGTCCTCGGATCCTCAGGGACCTGAGGGTTGATCTGGATAGGTAGGTAGTGACCCGGCCAGGTGCCCAGAGAGGTTGAGAAAGTAGCAGGACATAAAGGAATCTTATCCTGGACACGCCATCATGGCAACCCCGTGAGCCCACACCCTGCCTCTTCCTCTCCCCAACTGTACGGTGGACCTTCAGTATCTTCCTTGCAGGTTCCTCTGTACACTGAAGGAGAAAGTGTGAGCCCGACTACTGACATTTCCAATCAAGACAGCAGAGCGTGCACCCTCCCGTCAGCAACTGTCCCTTCCCATCCGCTGGGCCGCTGCCCTTGGCTCTTGTCCTTTGAGAACACATACCACAATCAGAGAACTGCCTGGTCCAGCCCCAGATCTACCAGACACTGCATCTTTAGTCCCAGCTTTGTCCTTGCCCTCTCCAATTGCTACCGCGTTCTCAGAAGGCCTCTACTCCTAAAAACAGACGTCCTTTCTCCTTCGTAACTTATCCTCCCTCCCTCTTACACATCAATGAATAAACAAGACTTACTGTATCATTTTATATGTGTGTGTGTGTGTATGCATGATCTCCCTACACCCACCTCTCTATCACCTGCAACCCGCCTTTGCTCCTCACCCAGGGGTTTTCAAGACCTTGTCCTCTTCCCATCCTCTGCGGGGCCTGTCACCAGCCACACACAAGAGATGCAAGGAAACCAGGACTGAGAATCTGTGCTTAGGAGGGGAGGGGCAAGAGTCTACCTAGTCTTAATGACGATCCATACTGCTCTGTTAGGAGTTTACTTGAATGAACAATATTTTTTCTACATATAAATACATAAATGTCTATTTATAGACATATATATTCTGCTTATAGATATCATAGCAGCCAACTTCAGAACCATGAAAAGAATGTTTTAAAGTGGAAGAGGGCTAGGTTTGCGGGAACATCCTTAACCCCAGCATTAGGAAGCCAGAGCAGTTGGCTTCTGTGAGTTCGAGGCCTAGACTATGTAGCAAGCTCCATGTTAGCCAGGACTACATAGTTTACGACAACAATAACAACAACAAAAGCCCAAAACATGGGTATATGTGGAGGTCAGAGGTTGATATGGGGACATTAGTCCTCAGTCACTCTCCATCTTTTTATTTTGAGACAGTCTATTGGTGAACCTGAAGCTCAATGCTCAGTCTGGTCATGGAGCCTCAGAGATCCCCGTCTATCTCCCCCACATCAGCTCTAGGGTTCACGTTCACATTGCCACACCTGTCTTTTCTTTTCACACAGGTTTCCCTCCATACATGTAGATACTGTAAACACACCCACTCTCAGGCACACACACACAGATACATGCACATACAGACACTCATATACACACACGGATATGTGCATGCACGTGCATACACACAGACACACACACATAGATACATGTGTGCACACATACATAAACCCATGCTTGTACACACACACACACACACACACCATACCACACACCACACACACGCGCGCACCGAAGTCGCCATTTCTGCTTTCAGCTACTAACAGCTACTCTATCTCAAGGCTGTTCACTGTGGGTAGCCACTTGTTTCAAGCTCAGAGGACAGGGGAGCTCTGGGGATCAGGCCTAGTGACTACATGCAACACGGGACAGAATGAAATTCCTCAGGCTGGAAAGTAGGCTCTAATTCAGGGAAAACAGCAACTGAAACATGAGAAAGATCAACAGGATCCTATATATCAACAGATCAACAGGACCTTTCTTCTAATGGCGGTTGTTGGTCTTTGAAGAAACTCCCCCCTCCCAGACAGGGTCTCCTTTATCACTGGTTGACTGTGAACTTGCTATATAGCCAAGGAGAACTTTAAACTTCTGACCCTCCTGTCTCCACCTCCAGAGTACAGTCAAATCCCATCAGGCACAATTTATGCAGTACTGGGAGTTGAACCCAGGACCTTATGAATGCTAGCCAAGTACTCTACCAACTGAGCTACTTCCTCAGCTTTCCCTATAGACTCCTAGACCATGGGTGATAGCCATTACCTCCTCCAACATCAGCACCAAGGATGTGTTTTAATGTCCGTTTTACTTGTATATATATATTACTTGGTTAGCATTTCTTTTACAGTAAATAAGGATGAACACATATACATACATGTGTACATAATTACTACTTTATAGGTTCTTTTTAAAAAATTTTATTTTTATTTCATGTGTACACGTGTTTTGCCTATATGTCTGTGTGCCACATACATGCAGTACACACTTAGTCTAGAAGAAGGGGTTGGACCTCCCGGAACTGGAGTTAAAGGCAGTTGTGAGCTACCATGTAGGGGCTGGGAATGGAACCTGGGTCCTCTGGAAGAGCAGTAAGTGCTCTTAACCATTGAGCCATCTGTCCAGCCCCTGTAGGCTTTTTCCAGTGTGAATTGGTGATGTGTATGCTTTGGGGGGGGGGATGGCCTCTTTTCCCTCTGGTTACCCCATTACAAAGAGGAACTAAAAATGTTTAAACAAATCCACGCATATGACCACCTGCCTGTTGCCATAGATCTAGCATAACCTCATCAGGTGAGTTGTGTTTGTGTATGATATTAACAAAGACCTCTGGGCACTATTTCACTCATTAGCAGCAATGCAAATCTGAACGCTTCTGGAGAACAACACTGTGCAAATGAAAAGACACTCAGGATTCCAAGCGTGGGAGCTGGGTGCAGTGGACCGAGATATAGGCACTGGGTCCATTCTGTGAGGTAGGGGTACTGATGGAATGCCACACCACAAGCGTTGCTGCTGTACAGTGTCCTCCACAAATACAGCGCAGCACGCTAACCTCTCAAGCACACATCAAGCCTTACATTCAGCACTGTGTTTTTCTACTTCTTGTAGATGGGCTATGGAAATTTAGAGAGTGGAAACCACTCTGTGGGGGTGAGGATGCGTGGATCATTTCCTAAAGGAGGTACAATTCCACTTGAACCTTAAGAATTTTCTAAAAACTGAGATACAGTCGGACGGAACCCAGGCTCACCTTCACTACACTTCATTGTGTAGTGGAGCATGACCTTGAACTCCTGACCTTGCACCACCACGCTGCATTCATGTAGTGCTGGGGATGGGATGGGGCTTTGTGCCTGCCAGGTAGGCTCTCCGCGCTAACCGAGCAAGAACTATTTAAAATAACATTTTCTTTTCATTTACCATTTCAGGTTATTGTCACAAGGAGGGGGGACATTTTACAGCCTGGGAAGCTGGGACCCAGTTGGGACTTACTGTGCAGCTGTTTATGAATTATATTTGTGTGTGTGTGTGTGTGTGTGTGTGTGTGTGTGTGTGTGTGTTTATAGGTGAGCACAGGCTCCTGAGAAGGTCAGATTCCCTAGAGCTGGAGTTGGGGATGGTTGCAAACTACTTTTCAAGAGCAGTGTACGCTCTTATCTGCAGAGCCACCACTCTAGCCTCTGATGATGCCTGTGGAGGCCGGAGGGTGTCAGGGACACTGGAACTGGACTGAGTTTCTCATATGGGTGCCGGGCATAGAACCTGGGTCTTTGGTAAGAGCAGTGAGAGCTTTTGATCACCGTGCGAGCCATCTCTCCAGTTCCCTAACATTTCTTAAAGTGAGTTCTGGGGTTTCACACTCAGGCCCTCACACTAGCACAGGAAACGCTGTTATCCACTGGGCCATCTCCTCAGCTTCGGTATGTGTTTTCTGACTTTCTACTCTGGAGTGGGGGCTGTCAAAGGTTCTCACAGTTATGGAGCTCCGAGAAGACCTCGGGTGGAAAAGGACAGTTCACATGTACGTATGCTATGGCACCATCTGCAAGCTAACCCCTAGGCAGCAGGTAGCCAAAGATGGGCTGTTGGTGGAGGGAGGGAGAGGAGAAGGGAGGGAAGGAGCCCTGAAAGGTGATCAATGGCTGAAAGAATAGTCAAGACGAAATATAGCCACAGTAATTTTCCTGGGCTTTAGCCTCTCGCCTCTAGCTTGGGTCAAGGGCATGTCCATGAGCCTAGCATGTGTATTTTGAGTGGGCTTAGTTATAAAGAACAGGGGTACAAGCTCAGTGACACTCAGACACAGCAGATCCCCAGTAAAGCTTTATTACTCTCCCCTCCACAGAGTGGGGGAGCCCACAGATCTCCGTGTGAGTGGAGCCCAAAGGCACCTGGGGACACAGCTTAGAGCTCTGCGGCACCCAAGTCAGTTAGCGGCACTCCACGCCTGCGTCTTCATTATGGTTGCAATTGTGAGAGCCCCAGGTGCTCTTCCTGCAGCTCCACAGACTGTCCTCTGTCCCCAGACAATCCACATCATCCAGCCAGATATTCCCAGAGCCTGGGACAGAGAAAGGAAGGGTATTGGGTGAGAGGTCAGGGTGGCATGCTGGTTCCCAGGAGTTCCCAGCTAGGGTGCGAGCCCAGGCGAGCTCAGGGCTCTTATAATATCTTACAGTGTCTCTGATTCTTCTGTGACCTCAGCCACATAGTGAAAGCCGCCTGCAAATATTTACTACTTAATCCACATACTGTGTGTGCATACAGCCTTCCATTTCTCCCCATCAGCTCAGCTCCATCGTGCTATATCCGAATGTCTTTAGGGCCTCGGGCGGCCATGCCTCTGCCAACCCCCTTCCCTCTGACAGGATTGCAAACAGATCATTTTCCAGCCCAACTAGACCCTTATTGAAAGGCAAGGATGAAACCGTGGCGATTGCTCAGTGGGTAAGAGCGTTTGTCATAAAAGCATGAGGACCTGTGTATGGGTCTCCAGCACCCACGTACGTAAAAGGGCTGCCAGCCCAGCGCCGGGTTCAGGGAGAGACCTTGTCTCTGGCTTCTGTGTGAGCAGCAGGTCTGTGCTCTGGGATGGGGTGGGGCAGAGAACACCCGAGGACAAGAACAAGCGGAGCCGGACCTGTGCCCTGTTGTCCAGCCATGGCCTTTGCTGAGGCAGGAGGACAGGGTGTGTAAACTGATTTCAGGTGCCCCAGGGCAGCCTCCCCTCTCCCCAATTGAGGATAGTAAGTCTTGCCATGATTTTTCTTTCTCCTTATTCTCTACTTTTGGGGTTGTTGGAGATCTTGCTCAGCTATGTAGCTCAGAATGGTCTCAAACTCTATCACCCTTTCTCAGCCTCCCAAGAGCTGGAATAATGGGTGCCTGCCACCATACTCAACTTCTCAAGTATTCTTTTAAAAGATCTTCACAGGGGCTGGGGAGTGCTACCACTCAAGCCAGAAACCGTGTGAGAACAAAAAAAACCAAAACCAGGATCTGGTGGTGTGGGCTCGCAATCTCAGTGCTTAGGAGCTGGAGACAGGTAGCTCCCTGGTGCTTGATGGCCAAGCAGCCCAGTCAAGTCAGTGCATCCAGGCTAGTGAGAGAACCAGCCCCAAGACGACAAGGACTGAGAAACAACTGAAGTTGTCCTCTGTCTTCCACACACATGTTCACATGCACGGATGCCCACCCACATGAATACTCGTGCACATGTATGAGCGAGCACACATGGGCATACACACAGAAGTGGGGTTTCTTCAAGGCTAAGACTTCTGGCAGCTAGTGAATTGGGTTTCCATACATGAACACCTGCCTTTTCCTTCCATTTTCAAAAAGCCATGTTTGCCCCCATTTCATAAACAGGCCTGGCTGGCTACATGGCGTTTTGACTCCAACACTGGATAGACAGTGACCCACAGCAGTAACCAGAGCCCTTGGAAGCCTTTGCTATCACTGCTGGGAATATAACAGTGTCCTTCAATCAGGCGGCCAAGCAGAGAGGTTAGCCCAGAGCCCAGCGCAGCAGCTCCTCTGTCCACTGCTGAGATGCAGGACTTCCGGCTCCTTGAACCAACGGTTTCCTTTAGCCACGGTCACAGCAGATCACCTCACCAAAGAGCCACTGGCTGCAGTCACTTACCACCTCCGAAGCTGGAAAGTCCTTTCCCACTGGAGTAACCGAGCATGCGGCAGAAGACCGTGGCATCTTTATTATCCCAGCCATCATCACAAATTGTCCCCCAGACATTGTTGTGGAAAATTTCGGCTCGGCCTCGACTGGTGCCTCCCACAATCCGGACCTCTTTGAAGGACTCGCCTGGACAAAAGCACATGTGTGTAAGGCGAGGTGGCCGCTAGCCAGGGTTGGGGTACATTTTCCTTCTGCTCTTAGAGGCTCTGCAGCCATGGACGAGGATGAACCCTACTTGCAGGATCTCGTCATCAAAGCTTGCAACAGTCCGCCTTCAGCACCAACTCTTTCTGGGTACAGCCCCCCTTCCTTCTGTACCAGAGGTAACAAGTCACAGGGCCAGATGCGCCTGCGGGACCATGTCTTGCCATGTGTTGTGGAAAGGGGGCGGGGGAAGATTGATAAATGCAACAGAAAGAGGGAGCTGAGGGAAAGATGAGGTAAACAGGAAGAGGGAGAAGAGGAAAGGAAGGAAAGAAGTGAGGGGGAGGGTAGAGGTAAACATGGGGGAGGAGGCAGAGGGAGGGAGGGAGGGAGGAGGAAGAAAAGAGGTTAGGACAAGGAAGAGGGAGAGGGTGGGAAGAGGGAGAAGGAAGGGAGGGTGAGTAGCTGTCTGGGCCTCTGGCCACAAATAGGCTCAGGTCAGAGATAAGTAAGTCCTTGGAAATAAGCCCCCTCCCCCAGCAAGATTTTACAGCACTAAATTGACTCTAAAAGACAAGTAAAACACCAATCACCTTTCTGACCCTTTTGTCCTGGTTGTCCTTGCGGGCCAGGAGACCCTGTCATGAAGAAAAACAACACACAATTTGATCCGAGATTTTCCTCACCCTTTAGCCCACATCAGAACACACAGAGGGATGAGGGCTCGGTACCCTCTATGACCTGGCATCTCTGGGGAAAGCTACCTGTGTCGTGTGTACCAATGGTTGGGTAAGAGGACACAGGCCTCGGATGTAGTTGTCACTTAGACCAGTGACGTTCCGTGAGCAATAAGATTCATGCGAAGATTGGTTGTGGTGCTCCCCAGGGTGGGTGAGCAGGGCAGCAAGGCTGTGTGCATGTTGGGGAAACTTGGTTATGCTTATCCAGGACAACCTCTAGGGTGTAAGTTGGCAACTTCAGAAAGGCACCTCCACCAGCCTGGGTTCTGAAGACCCGAGTCCGTGTCAAAGAAAAGTAGCACCTACCTTTCATTCCAGGCTCTCCCTTCAGGCCGGGTCTTCCTGGTTCTCCTTTGGGGCCTACCGGCCCAGGGTTTCCAGTGTCTCCCTTTCTGCCTGCAAGGCCTGAGAAGAAATAGTTAGCCACAAGGATGTACCACTCTGCTGCCTAGGTGGATACAAGGCCTTGCTGATCAATGGATGAGTAACCCTTGACTATCGGATCCCTGAGTAATGGGCTGTGTCAACATGCAGCCAGGGTTTTGGTCCAGCTGAGGGCTCTTGTGGTTATCTGGTCCTCCATCTTAATGCCACTGAGAATGCACAGGAAGATACAGCTGGTAAAGTCCTCAGAAGACGACATAACTATGGGAGAGTTTCAGTCTTTCTGTGAGAATTTGCTAGGATGTTTCTAGGTCCCTGTGTCTGATTAGTAAATTAAGACTAGATGTTATTCTAGAAGTCTGTGTGAGTTTGCTGTAGTGTTTGCTGTGGCATGGACATGGTTTCTGCAACCCAACTAAGTTATTGTGTTGGGAGGTCAAGCCTCGGGCAAGGGGTGTGTTAAGAGGGCAGGGGCATGGTGGGACGTGCTCCAGGCCATTGTGGACACTGCCTGCAGAAGAGAGTCTGGGGCCTTGATTCTCCTGCTTCCTGTCCCGCCTTAGCTCCCACAGACAGATGATGGTTCAGATGGTCAAACGGGCTTTTAGGTAACACTTGAGAAGAACACACTTGCATCCTCGTAGGAAGGAGTCCCCACAAACACACCTTAAACACCTCAGCAGGACACCTAGATTGCCAGAGAGCGACGGTGGGACAGGGGATGACCTGGCTAGAGGGGCACAACTAAACTTTGGACTGACCACACTTCCTCCTGGTCTCCATAAAGTTTGCTAGCTGGAGATGCCAGTGCAGGGAATGCAGGCCCTTTGGGAGGCTGTTCCCTATGTTCCCAGCTTGCTGACTGGCTGAGTAAACTTCAATCAGCGTCAAGATTCGGTTAGAGCCAGCACTTGTGAGGCAGAGGCAGGCAGATCTCTGTGAGTTTGAGGCTAACCTGCTCTACACAGCAAGTTCTAATCCAGCCAGGGCTACGTGGTGAGACCCTATTTCAAAACAAACCAAACAAATAATTCAGTTCTTATCTTTGCCCATTGGTGTTTGTAGTGCCAGGCAACGTTTGGGGCTATGTCACCATTGCGAGGGCACCCTCCATGTGGCCTATACTAAGACTTAGAGGAAGCCGGCACCACACCTTTGGTTTCCCAGTTGATTGTTTCTTTATAAAGTAGATTACTTTGGGCATTACAGTGATGGCGATGAAGAAAAAGATGATAATAGCCAAGTGAGAAGTAGCAGCAGGAAGGGAGGAGGGGCTTGGGGAGCCAGGAAGGGTAAAACAGACCAAAGCAGGATGGGGAAGCCTTAACCCTTAAGGGGAGGCTCTTTGGTGGTCACACAATCTTACACGGATCGCTACATTCGCTGCCCACCTTCCTCGGTCTCTGCCTCTCTTGCTAACCATTTTAGAATACCCACCTCCTGCCATTTCCCCGGATCTTCCAGGGCAGGGATGGAGGTGTGGGTGACAACCCTCAGAGTCTCTGCCCCAACTTTGAGGAGTAAAAGGTCACAGTGTTCAAAGTCAATAAAGCTTTACTTCCACACACACACAGGCCTCCCCAGGCATCAGCCTGAGAAATTAAAATAAAGCCAGCCCTTTACCTGGGACTCCGGATTCGCCTTTTGTGCCTTTCTGTCCTTGAATTCCTAAGATGGAAACACAGGGAAGGGGGAGAGGATAATAAAACTTAGATATTAGACACTTTTAATCTTAGACTCTACCTCTGTCTGATTAGTGCAGACGGAAGGGTACGCTGGTTTCTCTGATTGCTTTAGACTTCACAGTGGGGCGGAAGAGGAGCCTGCAGACCAATGAAGACCGGCGTGCTTGGGGGATGTGGGGGATGTGCCATGTGGAAATCTGAGGGACACAGAGTCCAGACCCTGGCCTGCCTTCCCTCTCCACAGTGACCCGATTTGACTTTGACTCGAAGCCTCTCTTCATTAGCTTTTCAAATCTCACGAAACTTGCAGAAGATAGACCAGGAATCATTTGTAGATGATTTTTGATTTCAAAATGATTTTTTGATTTCAAAGACTGTGGAGTTGGCCGTGCAGGTTTTTTGGAGGTTACCACAGCACATGGGTGAAAATAGTGTGTGTGTTTGTGTGTGTGCATGTGGAGGTCAGGGGAACACCTTCAGCAGCCCTCGACAGGCTCTGTCCATCTTGTGTTCTGGGGCCCAGAACACACAAAGTAGTTTAGGCTGGCTGGCCCATGAATCCTGGGGATTCTTCTATTTCTGTGTCCCCAACTCTAGGGTTACAGAAGCACAAAATTGTGCCTGGTCCATTATTTAGTGTGGACTCGGTGTGTGTGTGTGTGTGTGAAACTTAGGTCCTCATGACATGCAAAGCCAGCACCTATTCACTAATCTTGGATTATTCACTGTGTCTCCAAGATCTGTAAAGATTCACATAGAAAAGGAGTTTCAATGTTCAGAAAGTGAAAAGATAATAAAGCAACCATTGGAAATTATTCCACTTGAGGTTAGTGTGAGAGGTCTTCTCTCCTGCTCCTCCCTCTCTTCCACCCACCTCTTTAGTGTGTGTGTGTGTGTGTGTGTGTGTGTGTGTGTGTGTGTCTAGGCCAAAGGGCAACTTTCAGGAGTCGGTTCTCACTTTCCACCATAAAAAGGGGATAAAACTCAGATGGTCTGGCTTGGCAGCAAACAAAATTACCCTGGCCCCTCCTCCCATTCTATACTCCCCTCTACTCCGCTCATTCATTCCTCTATGAACTAAGCTTCCACAGGAGATCCACTGTCTCCGGCACCCTTCAGACATCCCCATGGTGGGTCATAATCTGTTCCCTTAGCACGCAAATCAGTGAGGCTCCCCCCCCCCAGACAGTTCCGCAAAACTGGGGGAGTGCAAGCTTATTGTGGGCCAGTGAGAGGGACAGATGATACAATAGCTATTAACAACTACCTGAGCCTCACAGGCTTCCCACCAGTGACATAAGTCAGCCTTACCCCAGACCCGCCATACTACATCACCAGAAACCATGCGGAGCCATCACCTCCCTGCCTTGGCCTGAGGGAGGCCCCTTCCTGACTGTCCTACCACTCACTTCTTCTCTACCTGAGTTTTTGGACCTCACACAGTGCCAGCAAGGGGAACAGGGCAGTGGGGGGGGGGGCGGCTCTTGAAGGGATTCCTGAGAGAAGTGTTGGTCAGGAGCAAGTCCCTGACTGGCCCAGAACTCTCTCGCTGATTTAGGTTGGCCATTGGGCCCCAACAACTTCTGTCTCTGCCTTCCCCATGTTGAAATTACAAATGGGTTCCACCAAACGCATTTCCACATGGGTTTGGGGGATCAAACTCAAGTCCTCAGGTACGTTACCAACAGAGCTGTCTCCACAGCCCAGCTCTTCCTTCTTTCAGCATTCACTCCCCTGAGGATTCCTGCCATTTCCCTGTCTCACAGAGGATGGCGTGAGTTCGCTGATGACTCTCAGGGACTTGAGGTGATCTACCCAAGGTCACACAGGCGTGAGCAGTACAATCTGGCAGTTTCCCCAGACTCCAGCTCCCACTGTGCTCCGGAGCTGTGTTTGTCCACCAGTGAGCCCGGCTTGTCCTTTCCTGGAATGTCACTTAGCTTGGTCTGAACGACCTTTCCGGGCTTCCCTGAATGACATCACTGTCTAACTTCAATGTGTCTTAGAATCTCCCGCATGTGGCTTATGTGGAGCTAGGAGATGGTTCACGGGAGGAGAACAATTCCTGTGCAAGCGTGAGAACCTGAGTACAAATCCATAGCGCCCACGTAAAAGCCGGGCATGGACTGTGCATGGCAGTAACCCTGTGTTGGGGAATGGAGACATGCAGATCCTGGCAGAAGACTGGCAGTCTATCCTTAAAAGAGTCTGGGATTGGTGGGGAAAGTTACCTGACAAGCCCCTCTTGTGATTTCTACACACACACACACTCACACACACACACACACACGCATGCACACATACATGCACACACATAAACACACACCATGTGCACACCACACACACACACTTGAGCGCCAACATCTATATAAGCACTATTTACACTTATTTACATGAACGCTCACACCACGCACACATGCATGTGCGCGTGCATGCACACACACACACACACACACACACACACACAAGTGCTCACACAGAATCATCTTACCAGGTCCACTCAGAGATGCTGACTAAGTGTGACTGGGGTGGGCACCCAAGAACACATGGTTCTAACAAGTTGCTGGTTCAGGGCCCCCCTTAATGTTGCAGCCCTGTACAAGGGCAACTTGATTTCTCTCAGGTTACAATCTGTGATACTCCATACCACAAAATCAGGAAGGGGTATCTTTGGGATCAGATATTGGGATGGACTGTTGGATCCACTGGACACCAGCAGCCTGTGGCAAGGGGTTTTCTCTCTCTGGGCCTTTGTGTAATACACATGCCCATGTGGGCACATATGTATGTGTGAGTGCCCAAAGCTGATGTCAAGTGTTCTTCTTGACCATTCTCCTCTTTGTCAAGGGGGTCTGTGGCTGAGGCTAGTGTAGCCGGCCAGCTTGCCTTGGTGATTCTGTCTCTGTCTCCGGAGGGCTGAAATTACAGGCGGTCTCTGTGCCAGCCTGGCTCTTACATGGATTAGGGGAATCTGACCTAGGTCCTCATGCTGGTGCAGCATGACTTTACAGACTGAGCCATCTCCCCAGCCCTGTCCTCGCTTCTTGACTGCTGGGCACAGATAAAACTTGAATGCAAGGGGTGAGAGATTGAGAGCGAGGTGGTAAAAGTTCCAAGCACAGCAAACAGACCTTTCCTTGCTTGCAATTAACCCATAATAGTGACACCCAGACCAAGCCAATGCAATGGCATTCCTCTGTCTTCATCTACATCAGCTAGATAATCACTTGAGAGATTCATGGTTTTATTTACAAAATGGCAAAAGTCATGGGTTTGGAAACCTGGAATGCTTTATCAAAACTGGATTATTGCCACCGAAGCTCTAGCTTGGGGATTACCAGCCTCCTGACAGTGAGCTTACAAGGGGATGCTGTCTTCAAACATCTGGATCACATCTGCCACCTACCCTTCCGGATAACCATTCCAGAAATCGCCAAATCCGTTAACCCACAGAATTTCAGTGGGAGGTGTACATAAGCCAGCAGATGCTGCATGAAGGCAAGCTTTGGCCTTGGGTGAGCCACCGACCCAAATGGCGATTTTTCAGACATTGTAAGTTGAATCTATAATTCATCCTTTTTAACCTAAGGAGCCACATGTAATGGGTGGCCCATAGGATTGGGCTGTGGTGTTTATTGCCTGGATGAAAAGTGGGATATACACACACATAATAGATACCACATAAAGATGCTCACAGACACATGGAGACCAAAGAGCCAAAGACTAAAATGTCTGCAACAAAATTGGTGTGGGAGCTTGTGTGTGTGTGTGTGTGCAGGTGCATGTATGTATGTGGATACTTGTGTGTGAAACTGGTATGGGTTCGTGTGTGTGTGTGTGTGTGTGTGTGTGTGTGTGTGTACATGTAGGTATGTGGCAGGCAGAGGACACCAGCTATTGTCCCTCTGATACTTCCCATTTTGTTGTTTTCTGAGACTTTGTCTCCCACTATCCTGAAACTTGCTGAGTAGGCTGAGTAGGCTTGCCATGGAGCCCCAGGGGACCTACTTATCTCCACCTCTACAGAACTGGGATTAAAAGCAAGTTCCACCAAGCCTGTTTTATTTTGACACAAGTTCTGGGGATTGACTTTAAGTCCTCTAGTTTGCTAGGCAAACATTTTATCCACTGAGCTATCTCCCCAACCCTGGGGGAGGGAGTCCGGGGCTGGAGGAACTTAAAGACCATGGCTCCCAAATGCCTTCAGGAAAGTTACAAGTTCAAGGCTTGCTAGGCAATACTGACGCATGAGTGAATGAATGAATAAATGAGTGAGTGAGTGAGTCAGCAAACCACTTGGCCAGTTGGAACTGGGATGGGCCAGCTTTAGTGTGTATCCACAGGCCAGCCAAAGGCAAGGGCACCCAAATGGCTTGACCTTGTTCAACCTTATTTTCTGGCAGAGGAGGGGATCAAGGTCTGTCCTTGGACATTCTTGAAGACACGAGCCTAGTCTCACTACTCTGCCCTCCGTCCTCACAGAGAACTCTTAGCTGCCACTCCTGACAGCACAGGGCTTTTCAAAGGGCAGTTACAGAGTCTGCACTTGGAACACACCTCTTGACTGTCTACTGCATGCACCCACAAACCTAGAGTTACTATGATGCCCAGTGCAGTGGCCTGAACTTTCTAGACTAGATGACCATAATGTAGAAGTCTGACACAGAAATCAGACACATTATCTCAGGGACTTAGCAAGTGGCCCACGTGATGAATGGCCATGTGACATAGAAACATTGGCAAGTTATTTATAACCCAGACCAAAAAAAAAAAAAAAATAGAAAGACTCCATGTCAGTCTATACAACGGAACAGAGTAAGTCTGTTAGTGTATACAATAGAATAAAATGACTTTGTGTTAGTCTACATGACAGAATGGAATGACCCCATGTTAGTCTGTATGACAGAATGGAATGACCCCATGTTAGTCTGTATGACAGAATAGAATGTCTATTAGTCTACATGACAGAATCTGGAAAAGAGGTTCTTTGGAACCAGACTTTGGGACGAACACTCAGACCCACTGTGCCCAGCTAAACTGTACAAAGGCTTGTGAACTAGCTGCCATGAGTTCCCAGCTGCTCCCAAAAGAGAGCACAGGGAAAAGTATTTGCCCCCTGTCCTAACCCTGGGTGCTGATGTCACTGCAGGTAAGCCTAGCAAGGACAAGGCTTCAGCTCCCTTCTGTGATGTGCAGGTTTTACCATCCCAGACATTCAGGCTGTCTGGGAAACAAGATCAGAAAAGAACGTCCCAGAGACTTGGGAGACTTAATGGTGGAAACTAATGTCCTTTGTCAGGAGCCTCGGAGGAGAGAGGACAGGAGAATCTCTGCCTCTTGTAGGATGCTGGGAGCATCTCTCCTTCCTGTCCATCCAGAATGCCCAGCAACCCCATCCCCACACCCACTCACCTGTGTCCCCTTTGCTTCCTTTCACACCTGCGGCTCCTGGACTCCCGGAGTTCCCTGGGGGTCCTAGACAGTAGACATCACATGGGCGTAAGGATTGGGCTGGACAGGTATTGGAATACCACTCCCAGTGCAGGGATAAAGGGCCTCACCTGCTGGTCCAGGAATACCAGGATGGCCTGGCTCACCCTTGGCACCTGGCTGTCCCGCTGCACCAGGAGTGCCTGGAACACCCTGCACTCCAGGTTGTCCTGGAGCATAAATGGTGATGTCAGAGTTAGGGGTGAGTGCCACAGGGCTCCCCACCCTTCATGACACATACATCCTAACACTGCTCAGCCACCATCTTTAGAAGTCATCTACTGCCCTATGGGTGAGAGAGAAACAGCGCCATGAACCCCGTCTCTTCCATCACAGCTATGGGATTTAAGATGGACAGATTGAGGACCACTGAGCTCTGCACTCAGCAGCCAAAGAGGCAGACACGAAAAATGGTTATCAGTTAGAGTCTGCCCTCCACCAGCTGGTCTCTTCCTTTTAGGAACAGGTTTCTAAGTCCCTAGAGTGCTCTGGGTTAACACTATGATGAGGTGACACCTGGCATGTTGGTACATGCCTGGGTTCCCTGCATTTGGGAGCTGGAGAATCAGAAGTTCAAAGTCATCCTTAGATAAATAGTGAGTTTTAGGCTAGCCTGGGCTACACGGGCCCTGTCAGAAAGACAGGAGAAAAAAATAAGGAAAGAAGGGAGAGAAGAAGGGAGGCAGGAAAGGAAGGAGGGAGGAAGGGAGGGAAGGAGAAAGATGATGGGTAACTCCCCCACGCAACTCTCTCTGGGGATCACAGCCCCTCTGCCCAGATGCCCACAGTTCCTACCTTGATCGCCTTTGGCTCCAGGAGACCCAGGCAAACCTGCAATGGATAAGGTCTCCTAAGTATGCTGCCACTTTTATGGGCTACCGGAGAGAGGGGCAATGCCTCCAGGTCTGTAGCCACTATAGTGCAAGCTCTTACCTGATAGGCCTGGCTTCCCAGGATCGCCTTTATTTCCCTGGGCTCCAGGGGGCCCCATGACTCCTGTGACTCCCTTCATGCCCATGTCCCCTTTGCTCCCTTTAACAAACAAGAAAGAAATCAAGGTTGGACATGGGAGGAAACAACCCACTTATGAATTTGCTGTCTTACCCAAATTCTAAACTCAAGCACCCTGCGCCGGCGGTGGAATGAGGATGCAAACTCATGACATATTGGCCTGATGACCTGACACCAGTGACACTTAGACTCCCAGGACCCCAGTCAGAACCCTCAAGCCCCAGAGAAGGATGTCATCCTGGGGTCATGCAGTCCTTGGGGGCTCATTTTACTGTCTGCATTTTGGGGATTGTCTTTCTTGGCCTCTCAGACTGGAATCTGAATGTTCTGGAAACTGTCTCCCAGATGCCGAGAATAGCAAAGGTCATTGGGAAAGAGAAAAACAATGCAGTAATTTCTGTGCCGGCCTGCGGTGAAGGCACAGGCTTCCCTGGCACCCAAGATTTCAAATTTTCCACTTATCATCAGCATTCAGAACTCATCCAGCCAGTCCTCTCCTGAGTCCTCTGTCTCTCCCTCCTCCTTCCCCTTAGTACCTGGTGCATATCAATTGAGGGCAGCTTCTGGAAGGGCAGCTCAGCTGGGGAGTGGGCTGTAAGGTGGGCTTACTCAGTGGTATGCACTCTGAGAGCCACTAAGGTCACATTGTCGACCGGGTGTGGACACCCAGCTCTGTCCCCACTGGGACCAGCATGAGGTGAAGGTCTTAAAGGGGACTGTCACCCCAAAGCAACCTTTTCAGTTCTCTCCTAGACCAGTTGGCAGAAAATTCACTAAAAGGAATCTATACTTTTATTCTCTAATATTGAAATGCACAGGTTTTGTGATGTGTGTACCTGCGTGTGCATGCTCGAGAGTGTGGGGGCCCATGTATGTGTGGGTGCTTGTAGACATGGGTTTGGAAGTCAAGGGGACCTTAGGCATTGTTCATCAGCTGCCATCTACTTTGTTTCGTTTTTTGAGGCACTGGCCTTGGAACTCAGCAGACAGACTGGCCAGTTAGTCCCAGGGATCCTCCCGTCTCTGCCCGACACTGGGATTACAAGCGTAGGCTGCCATGCCTGGCTTTTCCACATAGGTTCTGGGGGTCAAGCGCTCTTGTTCCTTGCACAACAAGTGAGCCATCTCTTCAGTCTTCTAGTTTGGTTTTTGACAAAGGTACCATGGCAGCTTCCTCCCAGTGAATTCAGAATGGGGTAATGATTGATTAGTGACTGTCTCTGAAAAGGATAGCAAGAGCAAGAACCAGCCTCCCTGGGTCTGAGTGAGGGAGGCTAGTTCAAAGCATGGGAGGGAGGCTAGACTATTAGATATATAAAAAAAAAATCAACGTTTCCTGGGACTGGGGGATGGTCCAGTGGGTAAAGTACCTTCTGTATAAACCTGAGGGTACCTAATTTGAATCCTAGCACCCATATAAAAGGCTAGGCATGGTGGTACATGCTTGTAATCCCAGCACTTGGAGGGAGAAGGGGGCTATCTGTGAGGCTTGCTGGCCAGCCATCGCGTGAGCTCCAGGTTCAGTGAAATAAACCGTAATGAAAATGTGTTGTATGGGGAAAAAGAAAACATACTTTCAATAAAAAGCAAAAGAAAACAAAAAGACAAAAAAAAAGAAAGAAAGTGGAAAGCTATTGAAGAAGACACTCAATAAAAATAGATGTACAAACATGTATACACACATAAACATCATACACCACACATACATTATAAAAAGGAGGGCTGTTTCCTGACGGGACTCTAAGTGCTAACAAAGGACTGAGTTCCATGAGCAGAAAGGCACCACCTGGGAACAGGAGCGTACTTGGGTGCCCTTTGCCTAAGAGTCCAAACAGTTCCATGAGAAGCATCTAGAGAGCTCTCACCATACAGAAATAAAAGTGTATGGGCAACGTATGAGCCAAATACCGTGGTTTGATCAGTGTCTAATATACATATCATGCTGCAGCTCACAGACGTGAACGATTATGTATCAATTGAAATACTTAATACTGGAGTACTGTTGAGACTTCCTTTAAACAGCCTGGCAGGCCTGAGTCCTGTGCTCAGCCGGAGTGAGTAGACACAGGCTTCCCGCTCGCTCCCTCCAGCTTCCCTCCCCCAAAGTACCAACTCCGCAACACAGTCTTACCTGGAAGGCCTCGGTCACCTTTGTCCCCCTTGGGGCCATGTTCCCCCTTGGGGCCAGCGAGGCCTTTCTCTCCTTGAGGTCCTGGGGCACCTGTGGTGAGAACAGGAATGAGGTAGGCACCAGCTGCCCTGCTGGGGATGGGACCCTGGGGACGGAAGCAGAGTGAGGAGGGGAAGGGTCTCCAGGGAGAACCTGGGGGACACATTCATTAGCTGGTCCCTTTGATTGACGTCTTGAGACAAAAAGGAGAAGTGGGGGGACTTTGACCCCCAGGGGTCAGGGCAGGGTTATAGAGCGAACACGTGGGGACAGCTGCCCTGTGGCCACTGGTGACGCATGGCAGGTCCCAGGAGAGGAAGCCCAGATTACCAGTTACTCCTTGCTTCCCTGGTGCACCCTGGAGGCCTGTGAGACGAAAAGAAGGACTCAGTGACCGTGGTTTGGTTTCTTTAGTTAGCTGACATTCTGGGGGGGGGGGCTCTGAAGTGCTGTGGGCACCCAATCATAAGCTCCCTACACTCTGTACACAAGCAAGCATGTGTGGCGGCGTACCAAGCAGGTTCAGACAGGGAGAGACTGTCTTTCCAAAGACTTGGGGCCAGTGTGTGGCCATGGAAGGAAGATTCTAGAAGAAGGCAAGTCAATCTGAATCATAGCTGTCTCTCCGAGCAAAGTAAACGACCTTGGAAAAGACACTTCAGTATCCCTTGCCTCAATGCTCTCATCTGTAAAATGGGGATGGTGATGACTGGGCCTCTGCAGGTGCCTCACTAATGCTCACGTGCCCAGGACAAAAAAAAAAAACGGAGTTGGGAAATAACAGCCCCCTCCTGGGATACAGAGTATCACAGGTAAGCATGCAGGGCACAGCCCGAGGTACAGGCCATTCCTAGGAGGAAGAGGACTAGGGTAGGACAGTGAGTGCAGACAGAAATGAGATCCTGCAGGGTGAGTGTGGAAGGAGGGAGCCGCAAAGCAAGGTGTGGAGACAGACCCCCTGGGATGCCTGAGCCCCAGCTTTCCCTGGGGGCGCCAGCTGCTCTCTGCGTGGGGGCTCGCGATCTCTGTGTCACCATCTCACGTGCTACCATTCACCCTCCTGTTAGGTTGGTGGGTTCCATGGAGCCAGAGGAAGAATGGGACCCTAGACCCCCCCCCCCCCCAGGGATGGCCTGTGTCTGTCCTCCCAAGTTCCCTGGTTGACTGCAGTCTCTGGGATCTGGGGAATCTACTGCATGCCTCCTTCTCTGTGGGTGGCCTGCCTGCTGTGAGGCTGTGAGGCTGTTTATGCTTCGGGCATGTGTGTATCTGCAGGGGCAGACTCACGAGTATCAGTGTGCCGTTCATACGTGTGAACACTAGAATCTGGGCACAATCCTACACGTGTGCGTGAGTGTGTGAGCACCTGACTGCGAGGAGACATGCAAGTGTATAAATGTGTGCTTACACATGCATGTGGATATGTGAGCCTGTAGTCCCATGATTGCGTAGTGGGAGGGTGCATGCATGCCGAAATGTGTGCTTACACACTTACGAGTGCATGAGCATATGGTGTGAGCATTCATGTGTGCATGCACCTGTGTTTGCACATGTGCGTGTGGCTCTGAGAGTGTGTTGTGTGAGTGTGAAGATGCATGCATGGTCAGGCACCAGTGTTCATATGTGTGCATGAGTAAGTGTGTGGCTCTGGGTGTAGCACATGAGGGTGAAGACGCACTGATGTGTGTAGACATGTGCTTGCAATTGAATGTGTGTGAGCGTGTGAGGACACGTGGTGGTGCAGTGTGTGTGTTGGGGGGAGTTGTCTATGCACGCTCCTCGTCACACCATAATCATCCTTTCCAATGTTTAAAGCCTCTTGGAAGAAGCCCTTCCTGGACACAGAACAACCCGTTCCCTGGAATCCTATTAGCTGCCTTCCTAATGGAGCCAGTTCCTAGAAGTGGCTTTCTCTGCTCACCAGCCCCCTTTTGTGGTTGCTGGAGCCAAGCCATCAGGAGGGGTAAGCCTACTCTATTGTTTACTTCCCCTTTGACCTAAACCAGCTGGCTCTGCTCATTGCTGTTAAAAGATCTTAGGACTCTGCATCATTCCACTGCAGTAGCCTCAGCTGGGGTACTGGGAGAGTTTTTCGAGGGCTCTCAGTTACTCCCCTAGGTTTTTTTTTTCTCCTGAGAGAGAGAGAGAGAGAGAGAGAGAGAGAGAGAGAGAGAGAGAGAGAAGGAGGGAGGGAGGGAGGGAGGGAGGGAGGGAGCGCTCTGAGCTGGACAGGTCTTAGCCTCAGCCTGAAAAACTGAACCTAATAGATGATCTAGCATCAATTGTGGACTTTCAGACATTATCTGGAAGAGGGTGTGGTGATGTAAGTCTGTAATCCTAGCCCTCGGGAGGCTGAGGCAGGAGGATGGAGAGCTCAGGGATAGGCTGGGTTACTGCTGGCTCAAAGAACGGTGACAATACTGGGCTTGGATGACTGCTCCCTCAGTAAAGTGCTTGCCTTTCAGGCATCAGGGCTTGAGATTGACCCCAAACCTGTGTAAAGCAGCTAGGAGTGGTACTGTGTACTGGCCATCTCAGTATTTAGGAGGCAGAGACAGGTGGTTGACTCTGGCTTCTACATGGGCACATGTGTGCTAGGACACAACACGTATGTGCACATGTGCAGAGAGAAAGGGAGAGGCAAAGACAGAGATAGAGAGAGACAAAGACAGGGAGGCAGAGAGAGACGGGAGAAAGAATGGACAGTAACAGCACCTTGCAGAAGTCTCAGCTCCATTTTACATATAAGGAAACGGAGGCGAGGGAGGCAAGTCTACAAAGGCAGGTGCGTGGATGTCTCAGCCCCGCTGGACCATGGAGATGCACTTTTGCCCGTGGGCTCACAGGCTTGCCCTTGTCAACAGAGAAGGTTCAACGGGTCTCTCCACACTTTACAACCCATTGGCAAGTACTCCTGTTTGTGACCCCCCCTCACCTCTGAGCCCACCCCAGGTCTCATACAAGCTGCCTCCCCTTGTGAAAACCCACTCCTGGGGGTGAGAGTCTGGCGTGGGTCCTTGTCACTGAGAAGTCCACTGTGACACCGACTCACCTGCCTCTCCTTTGACACCTGGTGGGCCCTGGAGTCCCGGGACACCTGGGGATAACAGGATTAAAATATGAAGTTAGGGACCCTGGGGAAGGCAATAAGATGGCTCGCAGCTGGCTGGGTAGGAAACAAAGGAGTTGAGAAGTTAACAGGGAGAACAGGATTCTGGGAAAACCAAGACCAACAGAGCTGGTCTCAGCAGGACCTGGATGGCCTCCCCCCAGTCTTCCCTCAAAGTTCACGCACAAGGTGCCTTTGCCCTTTCCCCTAATGAACTTCTCAGCTTCACAAGTGAGCACACCTTGAAACACATTTTCTACAACTAACACAGCTAATTGCAACAGACTGCATGGTGGGCAAGCCTCCGCCTCCAGGGCTGGGAGATGGCTTGGCAGTTAAGATGCTCTTGCAGGGGATCTGAGGTCAGTTCCTGGCACGCAATCAGGCACATGTGCCTGTATCCCCAGCTCCGGGGCATCTGCCTGGCTTCTTCACACACGCATGTCCCCACACAGACACACACTCGTACATGGCACCAGCTCTACCTGTGTCCTGGCGTGATTTATTCTCCCTGCCATAATTGAGATCAGACAGAATTCAGAGGGAGACATCTCCCCCCTCATGCCAAAGGAGAAAAAGGGTTAAGAATATAGCTTAGAGGAGGAGGGGAAAGAACACAGGGTCAGAAGACAGACTGGACCTGGGGTTCCATCATGACCCTCACACCCCTTTGCTCCCTTCTCGCCAGGTGGCCCAGGCAGGCCAGGGGTTCCAGGAACACCTGGGGCCCCTTTTGGACTTGGGGGGGGCAGCGAAGAAGAGCAGAGACAGCAACTAGTAAAGCAATAGTAGACGATGATACATTTACTCGGCCTCTCAGCAAGCATCCACTGAGTCTCAAGGGCAAGACTAGCCTGGGAAGGAATCAAGAACTGCTTTCTCCAAGAAGCCTGTGGTCTGGGAGACAAGGAAGAGACTAAAGAGAATCTCGTATGAAGAAGGCACGACTTCAAGTCCGGCTAAAGCTTGGCTAGGAGGCTGTGCCCCGTGTCTGTGGCGGGAAGCCTGGGGCTCTGGGCGGACGCACTTGCTCATAGTAACTGCCTATACCTAAGGCAAAGCCAAGACATCTGGGCTCCATGCCTTCCCTCTGCCCTCAGTAGCTGCCAAACGAGCCTTTGGGCTTTGACCAAGCTAGGCAAGCCATGAAGTGAGGGAGAGAGATAGCCTGATAGATGGGACCTGAGAAGCCCAGACTCCCACAGTTCTGGCTCCCTACGGCACTGCTTAGGTCGCACAAATGTGACATGAAATTCCCAGGAACAAGCCATGCCTATGGTAAAGATTCTACACAGCTGTTGGCCAATTAGAACTTGCTTGATTTGTGGAGAGTTGGAATGTTGCAGGCCCAGAGCCAAATTATCCTAAATTATCTCTAGCCTCGTAATAGCCATTTACCATGCATCTCTGTGTGACAATCAGATCACAAAGCCTTCTGAATGGACTAGCAGACCCTTTAGCTTCTGTGAACCAACCCAAAGGCTAAGAATGTCATTAGATAGCATCTGAGGCCTAAAAGCAGGGGTCTTTCTGCTCTGGAGTAATCTACTTAGCTAACTGATGATGCCACCTACACATTTTTTTTTTAAGTACCTTGATTTATGATTTCCTTTTGTTCTGTTCCTATCAAAATTTCTTGAAACGTATCACACTGGAACAAGGTCCACAAGGTCACCTGAGTCCATGCTCACCGGCCACAGCCATTTATATGTGGTTGCGGAATAAACCACCTCTAGTTCCCTTTAGGTGAGAGTTGAGTCAACAGCACACAACGCTGTTGTAAGCACAGCCCTCTGGGAGAGCAGAGCCTAACACCCAAGGCTCGTGCCAACACCGAGTGGTTAAGTCCGAGGCACTTGATAGGAGTGCTTCTGGGAGACAAAGAAAGTTCTGGAAACCTGGGACATTTGGGGAAGATGGGAGGGGGAGATAGATGGACCATCCAGGGAAGATGGCAAGGTTTGGATGTTGGAGACAGAAGGCAATCCTTTGGGACAAGGGGAAGGCAGAGGCCCAGAGCCGGACGCCCCCCACTCCATGGGGTAGAGAGGTGGGCAGCATAGGCACTGAGCAGATCATTGGAAGGTAAGCTGAACTTAGAAAATACATAGACAGCTCCCATCTAAGGAGCCTTCCAGGGAATGGCGCGGTGGGTCAGACAGGAAATGAACATACCTGGGGAGCCTCGTTCACCCTTAATCCGGAACAGCTCTGTGAGGGAAGGAGAGAGGGTTGCAGGCTGAGCCGGGGCGTGGAGTGGAGCTTGGATCTGCTCCCGCGCCCCTCCCAGAGCTCACAGACTGCATTGGAAGGCTAGGCCCTCGAGGATCTTCCAGCCTTGGAGGTTTGAATGTGTTCAGGAAAATAAGCTTCGAGTGACCAGGAACCGGAAGTTGGGGAAGTACAGGAATACTCAGCTTAGCCCATATCTGTTTGCAAAGGTTCCTGAGGCTAAGGGAAAGCCTGTCTGGGTTGGTCAAAAGGGCTGTTTTGCAGGCTGGGCATGGAGATGGAGCTCTGCTGTTGAGAGCTCAGCCAGCACGCACGGAGACCCCCGGCTTTTGTCCCCAGCACTGCAGAGAAGGTGTGGTGGTACCTGGGTTCCGCGTGAGGTTATCCATCTGCTGAAGCAGTTGCTCCTGGCTGATGCGGACCTGTGTGACCTGGACCTGTAGGGCTTGCAGCCCCGATGTTCTGGCTGCCAGGTGTGTTTTGGGATTTGCCAGCTGTGGCGAGAAGAACGACCTGTCCTCAGCAGCCAGGGTCTCGTTGTCTAAGCACTTCTCCAGGATCCACTTATGCAGACTGAGAACTGGAACCCAAACCCAAAGCACCATTCAGGGGCCTCATCGAAACCTGATACATTGGTGCAAGTCTCAGAAATTCTGTGTCCCATGCACGTGACTTCTCTAGTGCATAGAGCTTCAAACACAAACTCTGTGCACTGCGGGGGCGGGGGGTGGGGGGGAGGAAACAGGATGGACTCCCCACAGTGGGTCCCTGGGACCTTTTGGCCAGCCAGCCTAGCCATCTGGTGAACTCCAGGCCAGAGAGAGACCCTGTCTCAAATGGACAATGTCTGATAAATAATCCTCAAGACTGTTCTCTGTCCTCCACACACATGTGGATACATGTGTATGCATACTTGCTACACACATTTGTGTAGAGAGTGAGGAACAATCTACACTTGTCATCTGGCTTCTGTATGTACACACACACACACACACACACACACACACACACACACCTTCATTCCTCTGTTACCTTGGTGGGTCTAACCACTCTACTCTCCTAGCAGGAGGGCAAAAGTGCTCTCAAGATGCCTCCTTTCAGCCTGAACTCTGCACCAGAGGAGCTTAGGTGCCACTCCATGAAGAGCCGCACAGGACCAGGAGCATCTCACCTTTAAGCATCAGCAGGGTGGTACCTGCTGTGAGCAGGATCAGGTGGATGGCCATGATTGTCATGCAAAAGCTCCCCCAATTTCTCTTCTTGGGCATTGGATCTGGAATACAAGAAGAGAAGTAACGGCTTCAGAGGTGCACAGATGGAGCCAGCCTGGGTCTGGTCACACATGGTGGTATAACCTTTGGTGTCCATGTACATGCACCCACATACATGTGAATGCACATACACACATGTACCACCCACTCACAAACATGCCCAAAAGAATTCAGAGTTTCCATCTAGCCTAGAGTCGGGTGTTTGGTGACTAGGGACTTGACTTTGCAGGTGTAACCTACACTCTGTACACAGTGGAGGGGGCGATGAAGTTCTTAAGCTCACGTTTACTTGTTCATCTCTTTGAAGGTGGAAGAAATACAAAGAAAATGTCTCTTCTATGTGATTTTGGCCCCTGAGAAAGAACTTCCCTAGTTCAGAGACTGAAAGGGGCCTCTGATAGATCCCCAGGGTCTTCCCTGGGGTAAAAGAGGGATACTGGGCAGAAACCTCAGGGACACATTCTGGATTGTGACAGTATACTTTATGGGTTCCAGTAAAGAGAGAGACCTTTGCTAGCTCCATATACATGAGCACACACCACACACACACACACACACACACACACACACACACACACACACACATTCATGTACAAGAAACACACTGTGCATGCAAACACACATGCAAATGTGAGATGTTAAAGGCAGAGAACATTTAAAAGCTAAAGAGAAAGGACTGAAGGCAGTTAGGAAGGACACACTATCTGCAAAGACACACTGACTGGAATGACAGGTGATGCTCTGTCTGAAACCATGGAGACCAGACCTGAGTGGCACACTGTGTTTTGTAGGCCGAAAGGAAAGACTTGCCGACCATGACTTCTCTTGTGAATGAAAGTCTCTTCAGGAATGAATGGGGGATGTAGACTGTCTCAGACGAAAGGAGACCAGGAGAATTTAAAGAACTTCTCCAAACAGGAAATGAGAATAGAAGGCCTATGGCTTTAAAACAGAAAGAGAACAATGGAATGGTTAGAGACAGGGACACACACACACACACACACACACACACACACACACACACACACAGAGTTTCTAAAATCACACTTCATGGTCGAAAATTAGTAAATATTGCTGTCTTCTTACATTGTGCACCATGCATGGCAAGGAAATTCTTAAGATAATTGTACTTTTAACGTGTGGAAGGGCATACATAGAAATAAAACGTCTGTACGTGCCTGTCAGTGGGGAAAATACCAATTCCAACAGATGGTGGCATGTTCTGTACGTATATTACAATGCCCAGAGAAGCCCCTAAAGAAACTGCTGTGGTTTAAATGTGTCCTGTTCCCATTGGCTGGAGAGTGTGAGCACCCATTCTCCAGCTGGTGATGCTGTTTTGGAATGCTATCGATCCTTTAGGAGGTGGAGCCCTGCTGGAGGAAGTGAGTCACTGGGGGTGGACCTTGAGGCTTAACGCCTGGCCCACTTCCTATTAACTCTGTGTGCCATGGGCAGCCACCTTCTGCTCTTGCTACCATGCCTTCTGTGAGGCTGCTATGTCTTTCCAGCTGTGGTGACTCCGTCCCTCTGGAATTCTGAGCCAAAGTAAACTCTTTCTCCCTTAAGCTGCTTTTGCAAGGAAGAAGTAGCCAAGACAAAAAGCCCTTCAAGGGATACATTCAGATGGCATTTCAAAATGCATTCAAATAGTTCGTTGGAAAGAAAAGCCAGAAAATAAGAAAGGAAAATAGGTAAGGGGGAAAAACAGAAACTATACAGTAAAATGGTCTGTGTTAAACCCAACATATGGATAATTGATATACCTGTAAACAGTCCCAGACTACCAATCTGAGCACACATGTTGGCAAGCTGAATTATACAACATTACACAACTACATATTATCTAGAAGAAACCAAACAGCACAACTTAAAACTACAGAAAGAACAATTAATACAGCCAAAAGGAGAAAGATACCAATCAATAAATATAATCAGAGATTTACATTTTGAAACTTTGATCTCAACAACTGATAAAAACCTACAAAGGCACAGAAGGACAGGGCACCATCAATGAATACCTAATGAACAGTTACAGAACACTCCATCTAATAACAGCCAAAGGCTCATACTTTTCATCACACACAGAACATTCATTCACCAAGATTGATCGTATCCTGGGTCAAAACAGACCTCAATACGATGCGAAGGAAACAAGGCTGGGGGCTGGAGAGATGGCTCAGCCAGTAAAACGCTTGATGCACAAACATGGACACCTGTATTCAGATCACAAGAACCCATGTAAAAAGCCAGGTGCACTAACGTTCTTCCCAGTGCAAGGAGACAGAGACAGGAGGGCTCCTCTTAGCCCGTCAGTCTGGCTGAATCTATAAACTCCAAGTTCAGTGAGAAACTTCTAAGCAATGGGGGCTGGAGAGGTGTCTCCGCAGTCAAGAGCACTTGCTGCTCCTCCAGAGGACTCAGGTACAATTCCCAGCACCCACACCGGGTGAATCACAATCAGTCACCTCCAGCTCCAGGGAATCTGATGCTCTCTTAACTGCTAAGCCATGATCTCTCCAGCACAATACTACTATGCTTAATTATGGTTATCTATTGTTGTTTATTAGGAAATAGCAATGTCGATGAATTTTATATGTTGACGGTGTAGCCTATAGCTTTGATGAACTACTTATTAGTTTTATGGATTTCTTAAAGATTATTAGGGATTTGTTGCAAATAGGAATGTCTTTGTTCCTTCCCAAGCTATGTCTCTTATTTCCTCTTCGTTCTTCATTGTACTGGAACTCTCCATGGCTACACCGAGAAAGAGGACTGGAATGGACATCCCTGCCTTGTTCCCAATCTTAATAGAAAAACACTGTTTAACAACTGTATGATACTAGCTTTAGATATTAGCAGATGCCTTGTTATTAATTATTTTTAAGCTATTTACTTTACTTTCATGTGTTTGTGTGTGGTCCTGTGTACGAATGCACACGTGTGTGTACACACAGCATCCAGAAAAGAGCACTTGCTGTCCTTCCAGAGGATCCGAGTTCAGAACCCAGCACCCACATCAGGAGGCTCAGAACCACCTGTAAGTCCTCTCCAGGGGATTAGGTGCCCTCTTCCAGCCTCCAAAGGCATCTGCAAGCATGTACACATGCACAAACACATGCATGCATGCACGCACATGCACAAATAAAACAAAAATGTTATCATTTTAATTTTTAAAAATTAAATTTAGGATTTAATTTAAATGAACTTAAAATAATACAATTTTAATTTTAAAATTTAAGAATTAAACCACTCATAGTAAATGAAACCCCTCATAGTCAAAGAAAATAAAATATTTAGATGCAAATCTAACAAAACAGATACAGGATTTGCATACTGGGAATTACAAAATTCTAGTCTGGAAAACTAAAATCAAGACTTGAAGAGACGTACTATGTTCATAGGTTAAATCTGTACGGGGTAAAGTTGTTCATTATTCATACATTCATTTAGAGGCATGACAATTCCTACCAATAACTGCCTCAATATTTTTATGTAGTAATAGACAAGCTAATAGTAAAATGTATGTGGAAAGGCCAGGCAGTAGAATAATTAAAACCATCTTGTAAAGATTAGAATGTGAAGAACAGCTCTATATGGTATAATAATCAAGACAGGGTGGACATAGGAGAGGGCTAGTCATAGAACATGTGAACCATTGTGGAACCATCCTTTGTGGTGGTTTGATATGTTTCCTGAATATTTTTCCAAGACTTTTGTGTCAAAGGTCATGAAACATACTGGTTTTTAATTTGTTGTTTATATGGCCCTATTTAATGTGTGTGTGTGTGTGTGTGTGTGTGTGTGTGTGTGTGTGTGTGTGTGTATAGTAGACACATGGTATCAGCAGTGCCCAAGACTTAACTAATCATGATGTGAATTCACGGTGTTTCTGGTAGGGTTGTCATTGTTGTGTGGCATGACTTCTCAGCAGTCTTGGTCACATGACTTCCCTGAGCATGCCATCATGTCACGCAGTGCCAGTGAGCACCACCTGCAGCCCCTGTATGGGTTCCAAGAAGCTGTATGTTGGCTACCTGGTTGACTGTGCGTGTGAAGTGTTCTGCTCTTACCTAACAGATTGATGATGGAAAACAAAGATGGTGCATCAACACTAAGGCAGGCCATCCTCAGAGGCTGTGGAAATGAAATGCATATTCACATAAACATTTTCATAAGTGGCTATAGCACATAGGGAACACAGTCCTAATGCCCCTCAGGATGACCACTTACACTGTGGGTCATACTGTGGGTCACAGAGCCAACTACCGGGATCTGGCTGTCTCAATGGCTCTCTCTCGGGCACTGCACTGTGTGAGAAAATGGAAAGCCCTGACTGGGGAAATGGCTCAGTGTGCTGAGTGCTTGCTGTGAAATTGTGAGGATTTGCGTGTTGCCTGCAGTAGCTCTCCGTGCTTTTATAGAGAGAGGGGAGGGGAACACAGGAGAACCCCAAGAAGCTCAAAGGCAGCAGCAAAATGAGAGACCCTGTCTCAAACAAGGCAGAAGACGAGACCTGACATCTGAGCTGAACCTTTGACCACTACTGCATGTCATGGCATGTGCACCTGCATACATAATATACACAAATGACACATATACACCATACACATCACACATACAAAAAGAGAAAAAATAAAAGCTAATCTTTTAATTAAATTTTTGTGTATCTGTGGCGTCCACGCATGCACACATGCTTACATGCATGCGTGTGCGTGCACTCGCGCACGCGCACACAACACACACAAGCCTACGGCACACATGTAAAGGTCAGAGTTCAGCTTGTTGGAGTTACTTCTCTCCTTCTACCATGTGGATCCTGGAGGTTGAACTCAGGTTATCCCACTTGGCAGAAACTACTTCTATCCACTGAACCATTTTGATGGCCTCAAAACCATTCTTTAGAAAGTTACACATGGGCCTGGAGAGATGGCTCAATGGTTAAAACACTAACTCCTGTTCCAGAGGACCTGGGTTCAATTCCTAGCACCCACATGGCAGC